CCCCACTTTCTTTCCCAGAACTAAGAAGTGTTGTGGGTGCATCCAAGAAAGCCGAAGAAGACCAAGGCTAGGAAGGGCACTAATGAAGGAAGTAGATCATCGTGTAAGGATGTGTCTCTGGAGCCCAAGACGAAGTTCATCCACATGCTTATATTTCCATTATATTCTTATTTCACTATTTATAGATGTGAAGGCTGGACAGTTAAGAAAGCTGAGGGGGGGGGGATGATTCCTTTGAAATATGCTGCTGGAGAAGAGCTTTGAGGATACCCTGGACTGCCAGAAAGACAAAACAAGTGGATCCTAGATCAAATCAAACCTGAACTATCTCTGGAGGCAAAAGCATGGCTTTCCCATGGTTGACCCAAAATTCAGGGATGTCCCTCCTAGGTAAAGGTAAAGGTTACCCTTGACATTGAGTGCAGTCGTGTCCAACTCAAAGGTGCGGTGCTCATCCCCGTCTCCAAGCTGTAGAGCCAGCGTTTGTCTGAAGACAGTTTCCGTGGTCACGTGGCCAGCGCGACTAGACACAGAATGCCGTGACCTTCCCACCATGGTGGTCCCTATTTATCGACTTGCATTTTTACATGCTTTTGAACTGCTAGGTTGGCAGGAGCTGGGACAAGTGACGGGCGCTCACTCGGTTGTGTGGATTCGATTTTACAACAGCTGGTCTTCTGACCTTGCAGCCCAGAGGCTTCTGCGGTTTAACCCACAGCGCCACCACATCCCTGATATCCCCCCTAGAGAGGTCTGTTGGGCAAAAAAAAAACACAAAAAAACCTTGTTGACCTTCTAATTGTTGTTGGTCCTCTGTAACCTCCTAGAGTTGTGATGTTGGAAGGGGCACCAGAGGTAGTTAGTTCAACAGCCAACCAAGGAAGGAAACCCACAGCCACTGAGTTCCTGATAGAGGACCATCCGAAAACCAAAGCAGCAGATCATGACTTTCCACGCGAATCCACCTTTAAACAGCTTTTGATGTCAGAAAGTTCTTTCTAATGTTTAGTTGGAATCTCCCTTCCTATAGTTTGAATCCATTGGTCGGCAAAGAATCTTGTTTTGGCTTCTCTCTTATAGATATTCAGATATCTAAAGACACACCAAACCCCCTTAACTGTTCCTCATGGGGCTTCCAGATCCTTTACTATGTTTGTTGCCCTCCTCTATTTAAAACTCATGTTTAATTTGCCCTTTTCTGCACAGTTACTCGTCTTCTGCTTTATGTTTTTAAGTGACACCTCTTCGTTTTGCTTTGGTTTTATTGCACTGTTTTATTACCTGTGTCTCTTTGAGATCTCCAGCTATATATAGGGCAGCGCGTGGGCAAAACAAATAGTGGTCTAATATACTTGGCAGTTCTCTCCTGGCACTTACTTTGGAAAGGTCCATTCTGTCCAGGATGCACAAGTTAATTTTCAGGTACCCAGAACTGATGCTTATTGTTATTCTCCTGTATAGAACCTGTATGCCTGATTTTTAAAGAAATTAAATAAGGGACACATGTTGGGAGAAGTTGGATCAGGACCTCTGGCGTGGGGGGAACTTTACCCCTTTGCATTTGTTGCTGTCTTGATCCAATTCCTGTCCCGTTTGCAATGATGTGTTTCCTCCTCCTTTGCCATCGTCTCCATCTGTATTGGTCACACCATTCTTCCTACTTCTACTCTTTTCATATTAAAAAAATTAGGCATGCAAATGCTGGCCTTGTGAGTGATTTCATCCAGGTTGATCCTGGGTCATCCATCCATTTATCCATCCATCTGTCTGTCTGTCCATCTGTTCATTAGTTTATCCATCCATATATTCATCTGTCTTTCTATCCATCTATCCATCTGTCTGTCCATCTGTCCATCGGTCTCTCTTCCGTCCATCCATCCATCTTATCTCTCAGTCCGTCCGTCCGTCCATCCATCCATCCATCCATCCATCCATCCATCCATTTTTCTATCTTGCCCTATAATTTCTAGAAGCCCAATACCACAGGGCTAGTAGTGAGGGGCTATGGCAGTTGTAGTCCAAAATTCTTAGGAGGGCCATGGTAGTCCACCCCCGCCTGATAGAAGGAACTGAAGGAGGAAGGTCTTCCTCTTTTAGGGAAGGTATAAATCCAGATTCTTGCTTCCGAAAGTACTAATGCTGTGAGCACCATGTGAGGGGGTGCCTCTGTCCATGCACAGAAGTCCTGATCTCTTGACTCGCTACTGTTGCTCAGCTATGGCCATGCGGTCCTAATTAAAGCATGCTTGTCAAGTCAGCCTGTGTAACCGTGGGCAGGCTGCACAGCCCCAGCGCACCCCCAGAAGAAGGGACTAGCAGACCCCTTCTGAGTATTCTCTACCTGGAACCTCTTGAAAAGGGTCACCGTAAAAGTCAGAATTGACTTGACAAGCATACTGTTATTTTTTTTATTGAAAAGAAAAGAGGGGAGAAATCTCGCAGAGGTGTCCTCGTAATACCGAGAAGTCTCAGCAGGGAAGTATATATAGATGTGGCGCAGTTCTGGATTTCAGGGTGGGTGGTGCGATGGGGGGAGGGACAAAGCCCCGTCTGTTTTGGGAACAAAAACTGATGTGTGCATGGGGGTGGGGGGGTAAGGGTTCCAGTATTCTTGGAAAAGAAGATATATTTTCTTGTTATCTGTCTTCACAGGCTTTCTGGCACGCATGCCGCCGGAGTCTTTGCTGTGGGGATGTTTTCTTTCTCGCGCCTCACATGGCAGTGGTCCATCACGGCCGAGGTTTTCAGCTTAAACAACCTCTTTGTGGGACTGCTGATGGCTCTCTGTGTGCGCTTTGAGGAGGCGGCCACGGTGAAGGAGAGATCGAAGGTAGCCCGTTTCGGGGTCCGGAAGCCCCACGGTCATTTCCTTGTCATCCTTCCGACTCCCCGCCACCCCGTTTTGAACCCTCTTGAACCAGGAAGGAGGTTTGGGTCCAGCAAAGTCACGTCACGTTGCAGAATCCACCCCGAACCAAGACCTTGTAAGGTTGTTGAATGATGGTTTGTAGACACAGCCACCATCCTGGGCAACAGGCGTTAGGGAAGTGGATTTGGAGGTTGGGAGTTTGATTCCCCCACTGTGTCTCCTTAACAGGGACCGGACCCGATGATCCATAAGGTCCCTTCCAGTTCTATAGTTCTGTGATGATGATAATTTGAGGTTGCACACACATTGATTCAAACAGGATGAGGGGCCCCTGTCTGGAGGATTCAGCTATTCATCATATGTAACGGTAAAGGTTCCCCTTGATAATTTGTCCAGTCGTGTCCGACTCTAGAGGACGGTCCTCATCTCCGTTTCCAACCCATAGGGCTAGCGTTTTTGTCCAAAGACGATCTTCCATGGTCACGTGGCCAGCGCAACTTAGACACGGAAAGCTGTTACCTTCCCACCATGGTGGTACCTATTTATCTACTCGCATTTTTGCATTTTGCATGCATTTTGCATGCATCATAGACAGATTCATTTAATTGTTATATTTCTGTCTTCCCTTTCCTTGAAAGAGCAGAAGCTGGTGTCCACGTCTCTCCGACCTCCTCCACTTTTATCATCACCTTGTAAAGCAGATCAGGCTGAGAGAGGACGTGACTAGCCCAATGCATCCCTGGAGTTGCGTGGCTGAGGATGGATTTGAACCTTAGCCCTGGGCATTCTTAACCATTACACCGTACTGCGTCTTGACTTGTTCCTTTTGCAAACAAACAAACAAACAAAAAGTCAGCCGGGATGAAAAACGTTGTAACAGATCTGTGGCTCTCTCTCTCTCTTAAACCACTGGAGTGTCATTTATTTCTTTATTTGGCCTTGGCCGGTAAAATGTATGGAGACCAAAAAAAAGTCCCATGCTGTTTTTCACTGAACCATGACGCCCGAAAAGCAGAAGTGACAAATACTGTTTGCTAGCAGGCTGGCTCCAGTTGGGGCAGAATATTAGAATTCTCACTGATCTTCAGAAATGCAGGAAGCGTGCATGAAATCCTAACTTAATGCTAAGCTGCAGCATATTGGAATTCTCACTGGAGTTAGAAGAAAGTAGCTGCCAACTCCTTATTTTATTTCGTTTTTCAAAATAACCCTTCTGCGTGAGAGTTAAAGCGAAGCCACCTGAGGCTGAAAGGACCGGAGGCCTAACTGTGTAGGACGGCTTGAAGAGAGGCAGGCTGAACTCCAGTTGAAAAAAACTTACACTGCTCGAACTCCATCGGCATGTGATTCGGCTGTTGATTGGCGCAAAGAGACAAAGTCGGTGTAGGCATTTGGTGTCAGGCGCCAAGTCACGCAGCTGACGTGCCACAGCGAATGCTTACAGCCGCTTCTGGCAATTTGCAACTGGGAGTTGATGCCGGAAGGCGTAACTAACAGGATTCGAAAGCGAGGTGCAAACAAACGATTCAGATGGAAGGGACAATACCGAACAGGAAGTCTTGGTCCCTCAGAGGGCCAAGGTGTTGCGGCTGATTAGGAGACCGAATTCCGCTAAATGTTCAGAACTGCGCAGTTGTGACACAGTGGCAGCTTTATGCACTTCCTTAGTTTCCTTGGTTTTCTGAAGGCTTGTGTGTCATAACAACTTGTAGTGTTTGTATGAATTAAAAACCTCTGAAAATCCAATTAGCTCAGGTCTTGCAAGCTCAGGACTGTGGGTGCCTTAACTGAGTCGATCCATCAAATGTTTGGTCGTCCTCTTATTGTAGTATAACCAAAAGTCAGTAACGTCTGTTGAGTTATTTTTGCTTCTACCGTGTTTCCCCGAAAATAAGGCAGGGTCTTATATTAATTTTTGCTCCAGAATGCATTAGGGCTTATTTTCAGGGGATGTTTTTTTTACATGTACAACAATGTACATTTATTTAAATACAGTCATGTCTTTTGGTTGTTGCACAAGGGTGGAGGGCAGGGTTTCACTTAACTGGGGCTTATTTTTTGGGGTAGGGCTTCTATGACGAGCATCCTGAAAAATCCTACTAGGGCTTATTTTCAGGTTAGGTCTTATTTTCGGGGAAAACAGGGCAGAGTTTTAGAAGAGGTAGCTGTGTTAGTCTGTGCTAGCATCTCAGGCAAAACCAAAAGGGACAAAAATAAAGAAGAGAAAAAATTGCGGCACTTTAAAGACTACAGTATCTGCAGTATTTTAATGTAAGCCTTCATGTACGAGTCCACTTCTTCAGGCATAAAGCAAAGTGATACTTATATACAGCCCCATAGCACTTAAAGCTCTATCTGGGTGGCTTATAGTTTTTTTATTATGCAGGCCCCACACTGCACACACACACATGCACACACATACACACACACACACACACACAATCTTGAGCCAGCTGCTTGAGCCTGGCAGGATCTAATTCAGGACCTGAGCAGAGTTTTGACTGCAGTATTGCGGTTTAACCACTGTGGCGCCAGGCTACTTCAGCCTATAAGGTCATGCATTTTTTTGAATACATGCTCCAACATTGTTGAAACGTGATCATGACATGATTTCAATGCTGCGTACCACATAGGTGTTTCCTTATTTCTTTTTGTAACTTTTCTATAATTGTAAGAATTTTGGACGGCAAATTGTACCTGCAGCTTTCCCCAAGTTGCAGGAATGGATTTCTTTTTTAAAGTATTTATTCCTACAGCTTTTCCTTATAGCTTTAAGTTCAGTTTCTGTATAACTGAAGTAACATGCCCGTAAATTCTAGGTAACATGTTTCCAACAATTTTAAATAAAGAGCCTCGTGGCGCAGTGGTTAAAACGCTGTACTGCAGCTAAAACTGTGCTCACGACCTGGGGTTCAAATCCCAGGTAGCCGGCTCAAGGTTGACTCAGCTTTCCATCCTTCCGAGGTCGGTAAAATGAGTACCCAGCTTGCTGGGGGGGCAATGTGTAGCCTGTATAATTAAATTGTAAACCGCCCGGAGTTCAATTTCTGTATAACTGAAGTAACATGCCCGTAAATTCTAGGTAACATGTTTCCAACAATTTTAAATGATGTTTTACGCATAGGGAACGTAGAAGCAGCGTAGAAACATAAAGCTTGCAGAATTAGACAAGCTGGTTTAAATGATGCATGCATAGAGAATGTAGAAGCAGTGTAGAAGCATAAAGCTTTCAGAATTAGACAAGCTGGTTTAAATGATGCCTGAATACAGTCTTTCTCTGCCTTGGAAAAGGTGAAATGAATAATATATACATATACGTCCAGAGAAGAACGTATTTCACCATGCCTAGAACAGTGGTTTGTTTTTATCCTCTGATGAAGAATGAAATATTTAAACATTGGAAATCCTTTTATCTTGATATCCAGATGAAGATTGATATGATTGAAAAAGGTTATCTGATCTCACATTGAAATTAACCGTTCCGGCGATAAAGGTCAGCTGTGATGAGCCCCACAGACTCCACCTAGCAAAGAGTGGTACTGTATAACATTTTCTGAGGTCATTGTCGGAGTGTCCTAGATTTGGCCTGGAGATACAGTACCTGTGTTTACTATTGTGGGATGAACTAGAGTCGACTAGAGTAGATCTGTGATGCAAAAGCTTGTTCATTCTTTCTTCTCATGAGTGTTTAGACAGTTCCTGAACTTGTACAGGAGGTCTTACTGGACACGTTCCTTGCTCAGGCTTGGAAATTGAGCCGCTGTTTGGGCAACACGTAGGGAAAAGATCGAACAGGATTGCACTTACTGAATCCTTGGGACTTACATAAATCCTGTTGATTCAGTGGCTCTCCCCTAGTTCAGACTAACAACTGGAATGGGCCCTCTATATTTTAAAGATATGCTTAGGGCACAATCATTGGGAAAAGATGAAGGGAGCAGGAAAAGAGGGAGAGTGAAGATGAGATGGATTGACACAATAAAGAAGCCACACAGCCTTGAGTTTGCAAGACCTGGACAGTAGCTTTTAAAGACGGGACTTATTACAGGTCCGTAGTTCAGAGGGTTTCCCCATCTTAGGAAGGAACTGACTGTCACATAATATTTTTTTTTTTAAAATAATGTTTAACTATACATACGTTTTACTTAATCTTATGAGAGGCTTTGAACTCCCAATTTAGGGAGAAAGGAGAGCTATTGAGTAAATCAGCAGTTTACAAGCAACATTTTAAGGGCAAAATTAGACACGGTTGTTTCCATTTATCTTTGCAGATCTGTAAAGTCGGTGCTTTCTGTTGCGGACTAAGCTTGTGCAACCAGCACACCATTGTGATCTACGTGCTCTGTGCTGTGCTGTGGGTTTCTTCTCGCTTGCTCAGAGAGAGGGTGAGTATGTACGGCTCTTGTTCAAAGGGGAAAGTGGTGGCTGAAATAGACCAAGGCAGCCTTCCCTAACGTGATATGTGTTGCCTTATGACTCTTACCACCAGCCCAACGGCAGTGGTTGAGTGTGATGGGTGGTGCAACCCACAACATCTTCAGGACACCAGGTTGGGCAGGTTTATGATGATGATGATGTGACCCATGATAGGAGTCACCAGTTTTGGGAGCGCTGTGGATCCACTCTGGGTTTGGGGCTGAACACGAATAGGGGAGTTGAACCAATTATAGTGTTCTGCACCCTGGATGGCTTTGGTTAAAAAGGCAGCCTTATAAATGTGGAGTGGATTCACAGCACCCTTGAACCTGGAGTCATCAGGTACTTGAAGAGACGACTCATAGCGGGCTGCAGTTTCCAGAATTGGCATGTCAGCACGCTCGGTTGTCCAAACAAGGCCACTTTTTGAAGCTCGGCTGTTGGCCTCTGATAAAACTATTCATTCATTGGTCCAGGATTTTAAAAAAAACAACAGGTAAGAGAGTACAGTGGACCCTCGACTTACAGACTTTTCGAGTTACAGACTTCTCTGGCTGCAAAATTTAGATTTGACTTGCAGCCAGAGAATCGACTTACAGACCAGAAAAAAACCAAAATGGAATAAAAATAGAATAAAAACCACTGGTTATGGGATTAATCGGTTTTCAGTGCATTGTAGGTCAATGGAGATTCGACTTACAGACTTTTCGACTTGCAGCCACCATTCCAATACGGATTAATTAAAAAACAACGAGTAAGAGAGTAATAATTCCTTATAGTCAGCATGCAGCAATGGCGGTGAATGCAACCTACAGGAGAATCCTTATAGTCAGCATGCAGTAATGGCGGTGAATGCAACCTACAGGAGAAGCAAGCAACCCCAGTCCAGGGACCCCATGTTGGTACAGAGTGACCTTTCTGGTTACAGATGCTCTCAAGTCACTTTCAGATCCTTTCATGCGGTGCGGTCTCCAAAGCTATAAAGACCAAAGATAGAGAGCGAGATAGGTGGTTGACAAAAGAGCATGTTGCAAACAAGCTTTTAAAATTACAATTTAAGGTTTTAATTTAATTATGGGGGGGAGGAGGGGTGGCAGCGTTGACGGGAAAAACCAGCCGACTCTTAATCACGGCAAACGGGTTTATCTCCGCCTTGCAGCGCTCCCACCCATCCGGGGCCTGTCATGGCATAATTTCAAGGGCAAAAAAGATGCCACCGACGTGTGATCCTCAGGAACCTCTAATATTATTCGCTTCACTTTAAAGATTTCACCCTGCCATGCAAAAAGAGATCAGAGCGATGTCGTCTCCCCCCCGAGTAATCCACGGAAATCGTGCCATTTTGAACATTGCTTTTCGCAGGGACTTAAAAAGTGCAAATTGAGAGATCAGCTTCGGGTGTCAATGTGTATGTGTATATT